CAGATTGTTGAAAGAGAAGGCTGGATGTACTTGCTGTATATTAATGGACCATGGTTATATTATCTGAACTGTGAGAAAATAGATAGAACTCAGACCTCTTCCCAATGGCATGTTATACATTTCTCCCACCCTTCTTGAGTCAGCAGACACCGTGTCGGTAGACACCACAGAAAAATTGTAATGAACTCATCTGGGACAGAACCAGCAACAAACAGATGGCAGAACCTGTCTCTCTTTCCAGGTTTAAATTGATCACAGCATCAATTTTTTTAAAAAAGGCAGATCTAGCATTCTTTCAAAAGATCACTAAACATCTGTTCCAAAACAGCACTAAACCCATGCATATAAGGAATCCCCAGAGAGATGTATCTGTGGCAGTCTGGTGTCTAGCCTCTTTGGGAGCCCAAGCCTAAATGGTCATGTGTGGCAGCACCCAACAAATGGAGGGGAGGGGGCATGCCCAGATCAGCTTAAAGCAGCCAATAAGATCTGGGCAGATCCTGGTTCCTGAGCACATCATCACCAATATTCTCAACAAGGCTTTGCAGTTATTTCATACTGCAAGATTTGTGTTGAGAGAAGATGGAGAACACTAAAAGTGGAACAGCTAAAGATGAATTTAGCCTGCTTCCACAGTGGGCTGGAGATGAGTTGAAGGCAATCTCAGGTGGATATGTCCTTTAAATACCCCTAGAGAAGTATCTTAATGCTGCGGTTAGTGGAACATCAAGATGAGCTGAGACTTTCATTTTACTGTAATTTATCTGAATAAGCCAACTTGGCACTAAGGTTTATAATCCTAGCTTTAGATAAATCATAGTTAAAGTTAATTGCACTCTCAGTTTGAATGTAATGATTAACAGTTGGTTTAATGGCCCTGCAAAAATGCTTATTATCTCAGCTTGATAATGTGAGGAGGAACACAAGAACTCATCCAAACTCATTCTAAGAACAGTTTCAATTTGTCCATTTTTGTTTAGCAATATACGAGAACAAGGCCACTGACTAATTTATACTAACTGATTTGAAACTGATTGATTATGATGTGATTTGGAATTGGAAAAGGTATACTCTTAAACGTATATTTTGATTTTTAAGATATTGCCGCCTGTGTAATTTTCATGTGGAAATAAGTCCACTGACTGAAGTGGAATTTATTTTGATGTAAACATATATAAGATTGCTCTATAATGTCATTTAAGCACATGGTTACTAACATTTCCACCCTCCATTTCTATTACTGATACTCAAGGCAACTAAATACTGACATAAGAAAATTCTGATAATACACTCAAACATAAAAATAATGAAATAACAAGGCATCAATAAGCTCAGTTTTTCAAACGCTTATTTGAGTCATGCTCAAATGCTTTCATACTACTTTGCAAAATTAAAAAAAAAGAATCAGAAAAGCTGCTCTTTGTACCTGTTTCATTTTTCTTGGACTTACAAGGTGAAATCACATTAATGATTACATATGGCATTACACACTAATTTGAAAGAATGCTTAGCAATGCCACTAGTGAAGGAAAACGGCTTTGGAAGCACAAGCCTTCATTTTAAGATAAACTCTCTGCAAGTCTTAATTCAAGTTATCAGCCAGCGTTTAAGCACATTCAGAGTTGAATGAAGGTTGAGGTTTCTTCTTGAGTTGAGCACCTTCTAAAAACTGGAAGCTCTCTGGGCATAAAATACCATTAAGAGAAAAAGTATCTACCTGGGATTAATATTACGAATCCTGAAGGTATTTACAGACTTCACATACAAAGATTGCTATGATCTGCAGTATTCAACCCCATTTGTTCTTGCATCCGCGAGCATATGGAGCCACAGCTATCTCAGGCAACTGAAAATTACACCTGACAAAATAGACTTTAGGTCACAAAACTCACACCATAATAAATTAACTGATCACTGTATCATAGATCATAGGTCTCTATAAAACACAGAGAAACCCAATAACGACTTGCTTATTTCTTCATCCTATTGAGTAAATCTAATACTAACCCTGTATGAACTAGATTCCAACTTGTATTTCTGTAACTTTCACCTAGAAGAGGCTATAACTGATGGACACATGGCTTGAATACCAACTTATTTATTCTTCCCACCATTTTCTGTGGCTTTTCCCCCAATTTTCCTTGAAAAGAAAAGAGACCTTGAATTTCAGTAATCTTAGATATTTGTAATCTTGAACTAGCCTAATAAAAAATATTGCTCCAAATGAATTTGAGTATTTGGTTTCTGTGTCACAACATGGATTAAAAAAAAAAACATGCTTAGCTATACTCCTTATGACTTATTCCAGTTCCTTTAGTAACAGAGAATCATGTGATCAAATTTCTAACCTTTTATTCTTCTTTTCAGCTCTATATGGCTTTAGGGGGTGGTATTTTAGAGCTGTAATCAGTTCGTGTACAATAATTCACCTAGGACCTGCTTAGCCAGTTATTCTGAGAACAGATCATATTCTTGTTGGCTACGAGTCCATGCAGTGATGATTCTTGTATGACTTAGAAACATATTTTACATCAAAATATATCCATGGCAGAAAATAATAGTTTGAGGATTACAATATTACTGTCAGTGAAAATTCTCTTTCAGAATTCAAGATTAAATATCCTTTTATAATCTTGAAATCACCTACTTATGGTTGCTTTTTCTTAATAAAAAAAATCAAGCAGAGCAACAAACCTTATCTGGCATATTTTAAACATTTCTTTCCCATCCACTCCTTTAACCTCCCTATTCTTTCTGTTTTAGAATTTGAACCTATAAAGAAGAGTGCCTCACTAGCTCACATAAACTGATATGACAATAAGGTTGAATAAAATAGTAACAAAGCATTATTAAAATTCTTATCAGTTTCCCAAAACCGGTTGTCTTAATCTTCCCCAAGCTATCTGGCTGGAAGGTTATGGAACATCAAGTCCAAGACACTTGAAGGATGTCTGTTGAAAATTGACTGTATCAATTATTTTATAACCAAATCCAGTGATCGTTTTTTAGGCTGGTTCCTGGAGACAGATGCAAATCTAAAAGTCCAATCTCTGAAGAACAAGGGGGAAAAAAAGTTTTCTTCAAACTGAGCTTGGCTCCTGATAACTTCATGCTGTTTTCTTGGCAACAATACTGCCTGGAAGTGATTTGCCACTGCCAGGGGGATATTTTTTTACTTCCCAGACTAGCCTATAGTCTTGGTATTCCCTGATCTTCCACCCAAATACCATCAGATCCAACCCAGTTTAGCTTCTGAGCCCAGAAAAGATCTGCCACGTGTTGACACAACAAATGACAAATACTATAAGTACTTAGCAGATGCTGTACAAGGAATTCCTGGCAACATTTATTTGCTTTGTTGGAGCAAATTTCAAAGCCCAGATTTCAGTTTTCCCGTTGTTAAGGCATAAACAGTGTAATAGCATTGGATTCTTCTATTCCAGTGACTCCTGGTGCTATGCAATCATTACACTTTTCCTTCCTTAACCAGTTTGAGATAAGAACAAAAGAAGCAGCAATAAAACCTGGGAGTACAACACATGAAAGAAGACGGCAGCCAAACACCCATAAAAATTCCCTTTGCACAATTAAATACTTTCTGAGATACTCAATAAGCTACTTCTTTCTGCAAAAAATAGGATACTCATAACTCGATATGTACTGCTTTCTTCTCTATGTGGTATTTTTCTATAAAGCACATTATATATTGCTTAGATATTCACTATTGCTAAATATAATCTTTTGTGAGTAGGATTTAGGATTAAATCATTTTTGTATGGCTGTAGTGAGATGTATTCACAACAGATGGTCTTATATAAATCAGGTTCTTCACATTTATAGACACCACTTTTTCAAAGGCAGATTCTAATGATTTTAGCAACTGGAAAGCACGTGGAAATCACTGCCAAGGGACAGCAAATACTTTATACGATGTCACTGCAAACATATTCATGAATGCACACTGAAAAATCTAACTAAGCACCTGAACCCTAACTCTTGAAGTGTCCAAAAACTGCTACAGATCCAGAACATGTTATGTTCTGAAA